CCCCCCCCCCCCCCCCCCCCCCCCCCCCCCCCAAAAAAAAAAAATAATAATAATAATAACTAAAAATAAATAAATAATAATAATAATTTCTCTGTCCGCCACAGCTTTCAAAGTGACTTATTTCCATTCTCAGTTTGAGTTCGTTTCGATTCTATTTAATTTTGGGAATATATGGGAATCGCTCGCGTCGGATAAGGTCTAGTCGCGTAATTCGGAAGTCAGTTGTAGCCGGCGTTTACGGGCGTCTCCCCTCATTCCACTGCGACAACCGCTGCAGACCCGCATGCGTGATGCGGGACGAGCCCGACCGCTTTGCGAGGGAACGCCTGTCGACATGCGAACGAGTGAGGGAGCGAAGGAGAGAGCGAGGCAGATGTAAATAGAATAGTGTCTACGCCAAGTGAATTATTTTTGCCTGCACCGCCGGCCTGGGTCTCACGGTATCGCTTTTAGTGCGTCCTGCGAACCCGCCAGTGCGTGTTTCTGTCTCTCGCCTCGCCGTGCGTGCATCTGGAACATCCCCGATCCGACGCGCTTTCGACCGGAACGAAAGCGGAAGAGGAGGCATGTCGCATTCGGTCCGTCTGGCGCTTCCGCCTGGCGTCCGCTTGAGGCGCTGGGCGACTTCCCGTCGATGCTCGGGACGGAATATTCCGGGCCTGGTGTTTGGTCTGTGCGAGAAGGCGGTCGCGGTGTGTACCGGCTTTGGTCGATGACGTCAGCGCCGTCGTCTGCAGTGCCGACTGCGTTGCGCTATGAGCAAGGTATGTCTTGTGTATGCTCCGGTAAATAGTTGGATCCTTGTTTATGCAAACGATCAGAAAACTGCATGACTTGAAAACAGGGCAGATTTAGTCGCTTGCACACGAACTACTGGTGCGTTTCTGAGAAGATTACCTTTCGACACTTTGGTTCCTTTTTCGGCATTGTCTTCCGACTTTTACCATTTTGATTGAGGTCAGCGCAGATGGCTGTTCCGGTGTGACAAAACTTTAGTTTTTTTTTTGTATGATTTATTCCCGGTGTGCTCTCAGACTTCATGGCGCTGGGAACGTTCTAGCGCGAACCATCCCACGGCAAGGCTCATACGTGAGCATTAATGACAAATTTCCAGCAATGCCCCATGAATATGTTGCGAATCAGAAGTGCGGAGAAGCAACACTCTGAACGCGGTATAGCGGGAAAAGCGTTCCCAGGCCACGCGTGTGCTCCCATCGATGTTTCGCCTGACTTCCCAGGCTTTTTTTTTGTCTCGTGCTTTTTTTTTGCAATGGGCGGTGCTGCTGCTGTCGTATGAAGGAAACTAATCTGCGTTTAGGACTTTCGATCATGGCCATCGTCGTCTTCCCTTTGGGCAACATCCAAGTCTTCCGAAGCGTCATTATTTCCTTGTTAGTCGGTTGTTAATTAGCGATCGCATCTTATATCGATTCATCAGCACGAACCAAAGTGCATCAATCTTGGTGCTCCACGCCCTGGTGTGACGAAGTCACACGAACGCCATCGAGTCCCTTTTCCCGGGCCCCGAGGCGAAGTGGTCACGAGGTCACACTTCTCACGCCTTACGACCTCCCGACATCCCAGGGAGTCCGAGCGCTCAAGATCCCCCACGTGGAGGAGGCAGCGAAGAGCACAGGGAACGAAATGTGGAATCGAGGAGGTTCTGCCTCCATCCATCGCGCCTTCATGAGTTCCTCCATCGTGTGTGCAACGTCCCCGTCCCCGTCCCCGTCCCCGTCCCCGTTACGTTATCCGTCTCCGTTACGCTAGCCTTGCACGGACCCGAGCGTGAATTCCCCCGAGATCGCCGATCGCCGTCGACGGCAGCGAAATGCATGTCAAAGTCGCAAACCCCTTTAACAAGAGGTAATATCTCATCTTGTACCGGATGAAGATGAAAGGTTTCTACGTTAATTACTATCGTTTGTTCCTGAAAATGTGGACTGAGTCAGCTGTAATTATTTAAACGAATACAAGAGACGTAATTAACCGAAGGAATTGACGCAAAAGAGGAAAAAAGACTTGCTAAATAGCTCCTTAGCTATTTAGCAAGTCTGTAGCTAATTAGCTAATTTAGCTAATTAGCTTGATTTCGTTTTTATGATTCATATCTAATCGTGCGAAACTTGCGCGTAATTCGCAAAAATTCTGCTGAGAACTGTTGAGCCCTCGGAGGCAGACCTCTCATTGCTACCGTTAAATTTTTATTTATTATTATTATTTTGTATTTTTTTTTTTTTTAAGGCAGCGTTGATGAGGAAACCTCGAAGGTCATGATGTCTTCCGTCGTTACACTGAATATATTTTAAATAATCATTCCGCTATAAAATATATGCCCGCTGAAGTAGCGAGGGGAAAAGACCTTAAGGTATTTAAATAAAAAAAAAAACACGATGAAAACCGCTGCATGGCACATCAAGCGTGTGAAAAACGATTAGACCTTTTATTTTATCTCCCTTGCCGTGATAACGTTTCGAGATAGCAAACATTCAAAAGAAAAATAAGGATAAGCCATTTTAGTTTATTTATTTAAATTATTTATTTAAATGAGACTGTCATGCATGGGATCCGTCTGTGATTGATAACCGTCCCCGACTTTTCTCCCCCTCGGAGTTAGTTTAATTCAATGCGATTCAATATTGGATTTAAGCAGGAAGCAGATCTCTGATGGAGCCGATCGAAAAAGTTCAACACGAACGGATTCGGTTCGTATTTTAGTGCCAACGTTGGCACAGGTCTCGATGTGTGTGGGGCGTGCGTGGAACACGCCTCGAGGGCATGCGGCCTCGACCTTGAGGGATGCGGGAGGGAGGGAGGCAGGGGAGGGAAATGGAATATGAAGGAGCATTCTGCCGCTCGACGGCTCGAGAGGCGCGATAAGGCAGAGAGCATGATGGCTTCTGTCGTGGCGGTGTGTCTCGTCCTCGCTCTCTTCGGGGTGGGTGTGTCGGGGGAGAACGTTCTCGTTCTCCTGCCGTTTTCGGCGAAGAGCCACAAGATGGTGTTCATGGCGTTGTCGGAGGCCCTGGCGTCGAGGGGCCACGACGTCACCGTGGTCAGCCCGCACAAACCGTCGCGGAAGATCGCGAACCTCCGCGAGCTCGTGATCCCCGACACGCATTCCCTCATGGAGCGCGGGGGCAACGACATGTGGAAGGCGGAGGGGCAGACGCGGCCGTCCGACATCCTTCACATCTTCGGCCTCCTCCGGGAGATGTCGCACATCGTGTGCGAGGAGACGCTGAAGATGCCGGAGCTGAAGCCGTTCGTCGAGGGCAAGGCGAAGGTGGACCTCGTGATACTGAGCGTCTTCTACGACGACTGCATGCTCGGGATCGTGGATCGCCTGAAGAGTCCCTTCGTGTACGTGAGCACGACCACGGCGTTCCCGCATCAACAGTCGGCCGTCGGCTTCTCGGAGCCGACGTCGTTCTGTCCGAATCTGTTCCTGGCGTTTCCGGATCGCATGAGTTTCTTCGAGCGGGTGCTCAACACCGTCGCCTATTACGGGGAGGTCGGGTTCGTCCGGTACTTCATCGTCCCCCAGTCCGAGCGACTGGTGAAGAAGTACATCGGGGACGACGTGAGGCCCTTGGAGGACATCCACCGAGACGTCTCCCTCGTGTTCCTCAACACCCACGTGAGCATGGACTACCCGAAGCCGATGATGCCGGGCGTCGTGGAGGTCGGCGGGATGCACTGCGTCCCGTCCAAGCCCCTTTCCAAGGTCAAGGTCCTTTTTTTTTTAACGAGTCGGTCGAACTTGTCGATACGGTATTAATAAGTGGCGCACTTGGTACGCGTGTTTCAGGTCGTTTCGAGGATAATTTTCCTTTTATAAGAGGATTTTACCAGGTCCGAGCGTTTCTTCGGCGACTGGAAGAGGAGTTAACATTTTTTTTATGCATCGATAATGAATCCGAGAGAAATCATTCATCCTTCTCATCTGCATGCTTGAACCCGCCATCCCGCAACCTTGAGCTTAAAAAAAATTTAAATAAATAAATAAATTTCCAACCACAGTCTTAAGTCGAGGTCTCGCAGATGCCTTTGTATGCAAATCAGAATACCCAAATATTTGTTGCAATTTCAATATTATTTATTATATTATTTAAAAAATTGCAAATGCACATCGTGCTCCAATTAATTTATTTAACATTTAATTTCTTAATTTTCACGCATTTCAACGCGAATTAATTTTAATGTAATTAATTTTATAATTATTCCTAACATTTTTACTAGAGGCATAATACCATAAATTTATATTTTGTTAGTCAATTAAAGCATGGGTTCAACATATAATGAGTGTTAATTAAATTAAAATAATTAAATCGACATTCAGTGCTGAAAGCGACGCTCCGACGCCGCACGAATCGCAAAACCCGAGCGATGAAATGATTCTTGAACATAATAATGAGCACAGGTTATTTAAATAAAAGCTGTACCAATAAATAACACGTGCAGCACAAAATTAGCGGATTAGTTGAATTAGTGGAAATTTCAGCTGAAAATGGCGTGATTATTGTTTCCCTTTCGCGTCCACTTGTGGATCGAGTGTCACTGCTGATGAAAATTAATGAATTTGTGAAATTCATGAAAATTTGAGGATTCGGGGTGGTTCTAGAACCTGCGAAGATACAAATTATATATTGCAGGAATATCATTGGTAACCCAGATAGAATGCATTGTATTGGTTAAAAAAAAAAAGAAGGAAATTCGAGAGCTCGTGCCCCTTCGGCAAGTCCTTTAGGGGCTTGTACTTAACATTATCTGGCCCGAGCGGTTCATTTCCCCTGAAACTGTAAGAGGAGCAATGCTTGAATTATATAAATAATAAATAAAAGTTTTATGCGCATCGGTGGAGAACCCGTAAAAAAAAAAAGGCTTTCTCCTCCGCGTGCATTAAAGTGGCAATGCCCCGCGACTTCCGCGTGCTTCATCTCGAGAGAGAGAGCGTCTTTCACAGCTGACGAACTTTTCTGCACCTGTGCGTTTGTCGATGGCGCTGAGAGAGAAAAGCGGGCGGGCGATGGAATCTTGATTGAAGCGTGGCCTTGGGACGGACGAGCGGGCGTCGATGGTGTGTCTATGCGCCTGCTTCCTTTGGCGTTATCGAGGTGGGTTATCGCTTCGCGAAGAAGCGGAAAGGGGCAGAAATGCGGCGGGGAGGGATGTGGTGGAAGGGACATGTGACGAAGGGGGATTCGTTCGGGCCGTCGAGGCTGACGAGGGTGAAGGTCCGCCCTTGAAACGAGAATGCCCTTCGGAGGGGGAATCCTCCTGTGCTTCCCTGCCTCCGTCAGTCGTCTGCTGTACGCTGTGCGGTGTGTGCGTGTGTGGGGCAGCATGAAGGTCCTTGCTCTTTTGCTCTGTGTGTTGGGTGCGAGTTCCGCTGCGAACATTTTGATTCTTCTTCCTCTGGCGAGTAAGAGCCATTGCAATGTGTTTGGATCGCTGGCCCGGGGATTGCAAGCTCGCGGTCATAACATTACCATGGTGACGCCTTTTCCGCCCATGGGAATTAAAGGAGTGAAAGAGCTGACGGTGCCGGGTGCGGTGAATGCGATCGAGGAGGCCGGAGCCGACATGTGGAAGCAGCAGGGGAACGCGGCGGGTATTCTCCCGTTGATGTTCAGCGTGATCAGAAGCTCCGAGAAGGCCTGCCGGTTGACCTTGGATTGGCCACCGTTCCAACCTTACCGCAAGGGCGAGGCGAAGGTGGACCTCGTCATACTTTCGATCTTCTTCGCCGATTGTCTCCTCGGTATCATTCCGGCTATGGGGAACGTTCCTTGGATGTATGCGAGCCCCGCTGGTTTATTCCCCCACGTGGGGATCCCGCTGGGATTTCGAATCCCCACTTCCTTCGTGCCGATCCCCGTCTTACCCTTCCCGAGTCAGATGTCCTTCTTCCAGAGGGCTCTGAACACCCTCGTCTATCAGGGATTCTCGAGCTTCTTCACCTTCTTCTACGATCCCGCCGCGAGCTCCCTCATCGCCGAGTATTTCGGCGCGACCATCGACGTCTACGAGATGCGGAAGAACGCGAGCGCCATCCTCCTCAACCGGGACATCAGCTGCGACATCCCCATGCCCCTCCTCCCCGGGTTCATCGAGGCCGGCGGCATGCACTGCCAACCCGCTAAACCCCTGCCAAAGGTTCGAAAGCGCCAAAAAAAATTCCCTCTATGCTCCAAAAAAAAAAGACGGACCATTGACCCTCTTGGCATTTCCAATGAGGTAAAAAAAAAAAAAAAACCCGCATGCACTGTTAAAAGTTCGTGACCTCTACATAAACCAAACCTGTTTCATATGGTCCCGCCGGGAACTCCAATAATTTCGAGTATTTTATAGAAGGAATCCTTGATCAATTATACCGTAGCTCAGTACTTGAATATTCAGGTACTTATTACGTACTGAACATCGAACCGCATGAGCGCGCCTGTTGTAGCAACCCGTCGGATTAAGAAGTCGCGCCACACCTTTGCTTACTTAGTGACGATGAAAAAAAAAATGCAGTCGTGCCTCTACGGGATGATGCAGTTCACTTCATCATCAAAAAAATTGACTTCATCATCCCGGCGTGGCCTTGAGCCGGACGAGTTGTTAAAATGTGGTCGCGGGGAAAAAGTCATTCAGGGAAAGGATTGCAATTTCGCTTGGGAATTTGACAGTTACGTTGGAAGCCGTTTGTAAGCCGATAAACCAGAGGATAAACCAGAAGGAAGCGCTGCCCGGTCTGTCTCGCGACACTTTCTCGTCGCCGACGTTTTTTATCAGCTGCGACACGCCGTTCCCTCTTCCTTCCGGGTTCGCTGCGACTGTCGAGCCGCGAAATCCCTCGAAGATTCCGAATGCAAACAACGGATAAGGGAAACCACTGGGACTTTTTATGTTTACCGATTCGTTGTGATAAAGGTCAACCACCCTTATAAGCGAACCCTCGGATCCTAGACCGTGATTATGTTGGGATATCCCCGAGGTTAATGAGGTTTGACCATGAAGTCTCATTTGCATTTTATTTTGCTGTCATCTGTTCCTCGTGATTGCCCTGCCATATTTTATTTTTATCTATATCGGCTCGAGAAGAATCCTTTTCATTCTACAGGCCTTATCAGCGCCTTTGACAACGCTGAGAATTAATGGTATGATAGTTGCTTCATCCCCCTCCTGTTTCCACATATTAACCGCGGCTTCTTCCATCGCCTCCATTGCACCAGGCACCTTCGCATCCATCGTCCGAAAAACATAACTGAAATGCCTTAAATTATGAGAATTGCGTCTTTCGAAGAAATACCTGATATTAGCGTCTCCTGTGCGAAAACGAGATAGGAACGCATTAAACCCTGGACGCATTTTCACCTTAGCCCTTATCGTTTTGTGTATCACTTAGACGCACAATGCGATAAGCGGCAAGGGGCGGACATTTAACTGAGAGGTTTAACTGTGAGGAGAGGTACTAACATGTCATGCTCCCGGCAATAACATGGGGGCTGGTCCGCCGATGAGAAAGACCTTCAGAGGGAGATCCTCCCCTCAGTCGCTTGTCATTCAACGCGCAGTGTCGTCTGTGCGTGGCACCATGAGAGTCCTCTCTGTCTTGCTCTGCGTGTTGGGGACGAGTTCCGCTGCGAACATTTTGATTCTTTTGCCCTTTTCGAGCAAGAGTCATCGCAATGTGTTCGCCGCTCTGGCAGGGGGATTGGGCGAACGTGGTCACAATATTACCATGGTGACGCCGTACTTTCCCGCGGGCCATAAAGGGGTAAAAGAGCTGACGGTGCCTGGTGCAGTGGAGGTGTTGGAGGAAGCTGCAGCCAATATGTGGAAACAAGAGGGGGACGAAGCAGCTTTTATACCGTTGATGTTCGGGGTCCTAAAAAGCGCTGATAAGGCCTGCAGACTGGTCTTGGATTGGCCACCGTTCCAACCTTACCGCAAGGGCGAGGCGAAGGTGGACCTCGTCATACTTTCAATGTTCTTCTCCGATTGCCTCCTGGGTGTGATTCCTGCTATGGGGAACGTTCCTTGGATATATGCGAGCCCTGCCGGGTTGTTCCCCCATGTGGGGGTGTCTCTTGGGCTTCGGGTCCCCACCTCCTTCGTCCCCCTTCCCATGTTACCCTTCCCTAGTCGGATGTCCTTCTTCCAGAGGGTCATAAATACCCTTGCTTATCTGGGGATGATGGAATTCTGTTCCTATTTCTACGATCCCACTGCGGAAACCCTGATCGAGGAATATTTCGATATGAGGATGGATGTGAACGAGATGAGGAAGAATGCAAGCGGTATCATCCTCAATACAGACCTCAGCTTTGACACCCCGTTCCCTACTCTCCCTGGGGTCGTCCAGGCTGGAGGCATGCACTGTCAACCCTCAAAACCCTTGTCAAAGGTTCGAATGCTCAAAAATGTCTTGCTCTTGAATGCATTAACTTGTAATTGGGAGGGGGGGGGGGTTGTTCGTTTTGACCTGCAACTCATTATTTATGCTGCTTATTTGTACTAAGTTAGAGGGAAATCTTAAATTAGATTTCCAAGTGTCATTTTGAACCTATTTGAAAATATTTTAGAGGTATTTTCATTTCAAAGAGATATGCTTTCTTCGTTGTGGGTCAAAATAACTCCCTCTCTTCTTCCCTTGGGGAAGGTGCGATTGCGCTGGGCGTCTGCAAACAGAGCAAGTAAAATACACGATGTGATTTGTAATTTAGTTCCCAAAAATTTTTTTTTTCACTTAGACATGCCCGCATGGTTGAGAATTGGAATTATGAACACCCTGGCATGTCTGATGCTATTTTTGTATTCCATTGCTTATTATTATTTATTACTTGGATAAGCTGAGTATTCACTTATTTTCAATTCAACAATGTAGTTAATATACATTTTAATCAGTTTAAGTACTCGATATGGTCCTATGTTTTACGTAACCGTTGAGAATGATTTTTTTTTCTTTAAAAAAATGCATCAACACTTCAGTAGGTCTCAACAGGATGAGATACCAACTAGCGTATATTATGAATGTAGGAATACATCGCACGGATCGTGAGTTTAAGGTGAGTATATAATATTTGATCCAAACCCATTATAATCATGGGACGTCTACATCGTATTCCTCGTATTCAGAAACCAGAAAGGCACATAATCATCGCGGAGGGCTGGTTCCTTCCAGGGAAGGCCAGTGACAAATGGCATGGCATTACCGAAAACGGAAGGAAATAGTTCAAGAGTTTCCACTTCTCAACCTTATCGTTTTGTTTATCTCTCTGACTCTGCAATACAAGGGGCGGACGCATGATTGAGTGGATGGGGGAACTGGTAAGTGGAGGTTCATCACGGCATTGTCCCGATGAGAAACGTTAGTGCAGGTCCACCCTTGAAACGGGAATGCTCTTAAGAGGAGGATTAGTCGTATGTCGTCTGTCGTTCAGTGTGGAGCATCATGAAAGTCCTCTTTTTCTTATTCTGTGTGTTGGGAACGAGTTCCGCTGCGAACATTTTGTTTCTTCTTCCCTTCTCAACCAAGAGTCATCGCAATGTGTTCGCCGCTCTGGCAGGGGGATTGGGCGAACGTGGTCACAATGTTACCATGGTGACGCCGTTTTCACCCATGGGTCTTAAAGGAGTGAAGGAGCTGACGGTGCCTGGTGCAATGGAGGCGATGGAAGAAGCCGCGGTTAATATGTGGAAACAGGAGGGGGATGAAGCAACTATCATACCATTAATTCTCAGCGTTGTCAAAGGCGCTGATAAGGCCTGTAGAATGACTTTGGATTGGCCTCCGTTCCAACCTTACCGCAAGGGCGAGGCGAAGGTGGACCTAGTCATATTTTCGGTCTTCGTATCCGATTGTCTCCTCGGTATTATTCCGTCCATGGGGAACGTTCCTTGGATGTATGCAAGCCCTACCGGGTTGCTCCCTCATGTGGCGATCTCTCTTGGACTTCGAATCCCTACCTCTTTCGTCCCCATTTCCATCTTACCCTTTCCAAGTCAGATGTCCTTCTTCCAAAGGGTCCTGAATACCCTTGTTTATCTGGGGATGACGGTGTTCTCTTCCTATTACTACGATCCTGCTGTGGAAACCCTGATCGAGGAATATTTCGATATGAGGATGGATTTGGCAGAGATGAGGAAGAATGCGAGCGGTGTCATCCTTAATACGGATTTCAGCTTTGACACCCCGTTTCCTACTTTCCCTGGGGTCGTCCTTGCTGGAGGCATGCACTGTCGACCCTCAAAACCCTTGTCAAAGGTTCGAATGCTCAAAAATGTCTTGTTCTTGAATGCATTAGTCCTTACTTTGCCAGGGGTGAGTTGGGGAGGGGAGGGCAGGGGGTCTGTGTGGGTGGTGGGTGGTCATTTTGACCCACACCTCATTATTTATGCTGGTTTTATGTACTAAATTATTTAGGAAAATCCTGAAACAAATTTCTAAGTGTCATTAGGAACCGATTTGAATATATCCTAGAAGGATATCGCCATTCCGAAGAGATATGCTATTTTTCTTTTGTATCAACATGTTTTTCCCCTCCCCTTGATAATTACTTTGGGCAAGTAAGAGTTATACAATAAGAAAAAGTACTACCTTAACGACTTTGTCCCATATATACTGCATATTCTATATGTTGTGATAAAATATAGTTTAAAATTTGTTTAATTGCAGAAAAATACAGCTTGCAATGTTGTCATACAAAGCAGTCCTGGTTTTGCCCCTGCAACAAAATAACTTTTTCTGCTCTTTTTTTGCATAGGGAATCTCTGATAATTATTGTTTTAAGCGTCCTTGCCACTACTCTAAACTTATTCAGAAATTTTATATATTCCTGATTTGTACTGTGCATCTGCATGCAAGATCTTCTGTTAGTAAAATCGTCGGATAAAATGTTATGCCACATTTGTACGTTCTTAGTATCACTTTGAAGAAGCCGGACGTGGATTGATTGATCCACAGATTAATGCGAGCACTGGAATTAACTTAATCATTCTAGTTCGCTCACGGATCATATGAATGGTTTTGAACTTTGATAAAGTGTGGTCTTCGACGGTAGGACACTCACCAGAAGAAAATATTCTAACATTTTACTGAATTTTTGCGGTAATGGATTGGTAATATCGAGGGTCTAGGTGCGCTTGGCGTCGTCAAACGGAGAAAAATGCTTAATCAGATTTGTAAGTTGCCCCCGAACATTTCAGAAGACAAGCCCACATGGTTGAGGATTGAAAATATGAACACCCTTGAATGTGTTAAATTATTTGTGTATTCCATTACTTAATTTTCTTGATTTCTTTTGATGAGCTGAGTTGTCACCTATTTCATTTCGACAATGTAGTTAATATAAATGTTAATAAGTTTGAGGACACTAAATTGTCCTAGGTTTTACGCAATCCCAAAAACAAACTTCCTTGAATCAATTTCTAAGTGTAATTTTGAACCTATTTGAAAATATCAAAGGGATATTTTCATTTCGAAGTGATACGCTTTTTTCCTTGTGGGTCAAAATAACTCCCTCTCTTCTTTCCTTGAGGAAGGTGTGTTTGCGCTGGGCAAATGGCAAGTGATATACATGATATTTGTGAATTAGTTCCCAAAAAGTATTATTTTTTATTATTATTTTTTTTTTTTGCAAAATAATAGCCCGCATGGTTGAGAATTGGAATTATGTACATCCTGGCCTGTCTTATGCTATTTGTGTATTCCATTACTTATTATTATTTTGTTTTGGATAAGCTGAGTAGTCACATATTTTCAATTCGGCAATGTAGTTACTAAACATTTTAATCAGTTTAAGGACTCGAAATTGTCCTGTGTTTTACGTAACCGTTGGGAATTATTTTGAAAGAATGCATAAACTTTTCAGTAGGTCTCAGCAGGATGAGAAACCAACTAGCATATATTGTGAATATAGGAGTACATCGCACGAGTCGTGCGTTAAAGGTGGGCATGTAATATTTGATCCAAATCCATTGTAATCATCACATTCCTTGTCTTCAGAAACCAGAAAAGGCACGTAGTCGTCGCGGAGGACTGGTTTCTAACAGGGGTGGCATTTCCGAAAACGGATGGAAATATTTTTGCAAGTTGGCCCTGTTTCATCTCCTCAACCTTCATTTTATTCTAAATTGCCTTCCACCATTTTCATCCTTATTTTATCATTGTATTTTTTTTTATTTATTTCCGGTCGTTGCGTTAAACTACATAACCACTGCAAAAGTAGGAAAAATAATAATTTCTACTTCTGAATAAATGTGACCTTATTACTTTACAGTGCGTAGAGGTCGCGAATTATTATTTTAATAATAAAAAAATGTGACTCTTCAGTACGTTTCAACAAGGTAAGAAAACAAATAGTGAATATTGCGAATATGTGAGAGCATTGTTCTAATCGTGAGTTTAGGCGTTCATGCAATTTGATCTAAACCCATTATTTATCATTGGATGTCTACATCGCATTCCTCGTCCTTATTAAGGAAATAGGTCGAGAGTTAACCCTGTTTCCACTTCTCATCCTTATCGTTTTGTTTATCTCTCTGACTGCAATACGATATGCTACATGGGGCGGACATAAGATCGAGAGGAAAGAAACTGATAGGTTGAGGTTCATCATGGCATACTACTGATAAGAAAAGTTGACGCAGGTCCGCCCTTGAGACGAGAATGCTCTTAGGAGGAGGATTAGTCGTATGTCGTCTGTCGTTCAGTGTGGAGCATCATGAAAGTCCTCTTTTTCTTATTCTGTGTGTTGGGAACGAGTTCCGCTGCGAACATTTTGTTTCTTCTTCCCTTCTCAACCAAGAGCCATCGCAATGTGTTCGCCGCTCTGGCAGGGGGATTGGGCGAACGTGGTCACAATGTTACCATGGTGACGCCGTTTTCACCCATGGGTCTTAAAGGAGTGAAAGAGCTGACGGTGCCTGGTGCAATGGAGGCTATGGAAGACGTCGCGGGCAACATGTGGAAACAGGAGGGGGACGAAGCAGCTATTATACCATTGATTCTCAGCCTTGTCAAAAGCTCTGAGAAGGCCTGTAGGCTGACTTTGGATTTGCCAGTGTTCCAACCTTACCGCAAGGGCGAGGCGAAGGTGGATCTCGTCATACTTTCAGTCTTCTTCTCTGATTGTTTCCTTGGTGCGATTCGGGCCATGGGGAACGTTCCTTGGATGTATGCAAGCCCTACCGGGTTGCTCCCTCATGTGGCGATCTCTCTTGGACTTCGAGTCCCCACCTCTTTCGTCCCCATTCCCATCTTACCCTTTCCAAGTCAGATGTCCTTCTTCCAAAGGGTCCTGAATACCCTCGTCTATCAGGGGTTGTCGATCTTCTTTTCCTATTACTACGAGCCTACTGTGGAATCCCTCGTTGAAGAGTATTTCGGCGTGAGGATGGACTTGTCAGAGATGAGAAAGAACGCGAGCGGCACCATTCTCAATACGGACATTAGCTTCGATACCCCGATCCCTCTTCTACCCGGAGTCATCGAGGCAGGAGGCATGCACTGCCAACCCTCAAAAACCTTGTCTGAGGTTCGAGAGCCCACAAAATGTTTTCAGCATATGCATTAGGCTACGGGGAAAAAAATTGGAATATCGCAATGCCTCACCTAGCCTTTCTAATGTTATTAATTGCAGTAAAGAAGGAAACTGGTTTCGATGTTGAAAATTCCTGACCACGATATGAACCGAGCCTGGTTTATATAGCATCGCGACGATCTCCAATGAATAATTTCATGAGTTTAATTGAAAGATAATCCATAAAAAGTCAATTGTTTTATATTGGATGTCATAGCATCGGGGGGAAAAAGCAGTTGTTTATGTATTGTTTTCAGTATTTAGTAATCAGTATTCAGTAATTGCCGACGATTGGATTCACTTAATCCCAGTGTGAGCTTGGGTCATAATAGTATCCGCGTACCTTGATAAAATACGGTCTTTGGGAAAATGAAATGTTTCACTCATCTGGGACTTTTTTTTCCCAAGTATTGCAGCTTCATTTGGGAATCAGACTATTATATTTTTAATTTTTATTATCTTTTTCTAATAACCATGGACCATGTTTATGTAATCAGAGCCAGCTTCGGTAATTTTGACCCCCATTAAACTGTATCAAGAACTGCCGAGATTGTCTTTGAGTGAAATTGTCGGGGTTTTTTCTTTCTCGATCACGTCTTTCTCTTGAAGCATGCCGACACTGCTTCGCATGTTGCCGCGCGTCGAATGTCGTGAATTGGACAGATTTTGGGGCCGAGGACGCTAGTGCCACACAATTCCCAAGAAAGTCTCATCCAGACAGGCATTTTGTGAATTTCCTCCGTTTGCCGATATTTAGCACTCCCAGTATTTCTTGTTTTTATTTTTTACATTTATATTTATATATATATTTTTTATTATTATCAAATCCCCTCATTTACGAAGCTATATCACCATCGCACCCATTGTCCTCCAAAGAAAAAAAACAAACCATAGAGGCTCTAAAGCTTTAAGTAATGTCTGAGAGCGGTCTTTTTCAAAAAAGAGTCTGTGAAGAATTGACATAGCGTGTCCGAAAACGGATAGAAACGCGCCCGAACCATGAACCTATTTCCATCCTCGCCCGCCCTTATCGTATCGTCATTCAGACGCGCTATACGATAAACCGTAGGGGCGGACATGAAAAAGAGTGGAGGGGAACCGGTAACTCGAGGTTCAACCTGGCCTGCCTCGGGCAAGAAACATCGGCGAAAGTCCGCCCTTGGAATGAGAATGACCTTCAGAGGGAGATCATCTCCTCAGTCCCTGTCATAGATCGTGCAGTGTAGAGTTTGTGCGTGGGACCATGAAAGCCCTCTCTATCTTATTCTGCCTGTTGGGGACGAGTTCCGCTGCGACCATTTTGTTTCTTCTTCCCTTTTCGAGCAAGAGCCATCGCAATGTGTTCGGCGCTCTGGCAGGAGGATTGGCAAAACGTGGTCACAATGTTACCATGGTGACGCCGTACTCGCCCGCGGGCCTTAAAGGAGTGAAAGAGCTGACGGTGCCTGGTGCAGTGGAGGCGATGGAAGAAGCTGCGGTCAACATGTGGAAACAAGAGGGGGACGGAGCAGCTGTTATACCATTGATGGTTGGCCTGCTCAGAGGCGCTGATAAGGCCTGTAGGCTGACTTTGGATTGGCCACCGTTCCAACCTTACCGCAAGGGCGAGACGAAGGTTGACCTTGTCGTGCTTTCGGTCTTCTTATCCGATTGTCTCCTCGGTGTGATTCCTGCTATGGGGAATGTTCCCTGGATATATGAGAGCCCAGCAGGGTTGTTCCCCCAAGTGGGGGTCTCCCTGGGACTTCGAATCCCCACTTCCTTTGTTCCCGTCCCCAGCTTAGCCTTCCCCAGTCGGATGTCCTTTATACAAAGGGTTCTGAACACCCTCGTCTATCAGGGGTTCTCGATTTTCGTTTCCTATTACTACACCCCTGCTGCAGAGTCGCTCATCGAGGAATATTTCGGTGTGAGGATGGATGTATCAGAGATGAGAAAGAACGCGAGCGGCATCATCCTCAATACTGATCTCATTTTCGACACCCCGTTCCCTACTCTCCCCGGGGTCGTCCAGGCTGGAGGCATGCACTGTCGACCCTCCAAACCCCTTCAAAAGGTTCGGAACCCCAAACTTGCCTTGTTCTTGAATGCATAAAACAAGGAGGAAATGTAATGGGACTACCTTGGCAGCATTCTTTTCATACATATTTTCATTGTGGTGAGAAAAGCTTAAATATTAAATTTCATGGCCATTATATGAGATAAATCTGTCTTTTAACGTCGCAACGAAACACAATCAATTTCCATGCCCTTTTTTTTTCAAGAAATCCCTGAAAATTCGTTTTATAGTTCTTGACGCCCTTACCACTGCTTGAATCGTACCGTATGTAGGCATGTGAGATCTCCAGACTCGCCTGATCGATAGGGACAATGTCCCTTCTGAACTGCTAGATGTCCAACCTTTACTGGGGTGGCTACATGAAGCCTCTGAATATCTTATAAATGTCGAGTCGTGTGAAGGACTTGCCGATGGTGTCAAGATGAGCTGAGCCTCTTTTATGATACGTTCCTAGAGTAAACCGTCTTTAACCCTGTAACTTCCGTTCAGAGTTCAATGAACCCTGAAAGAAACTTGAACGTTTGCATGAGCGTTTGCTGCGTCGCAAGTTTTTCAAGTCCGGTATCCCATCTGTTTTAAGCAAATGATAAACCAGGTTGTAATACAAGGTAGTTACAATGTTAAAGATTCGGAAATCCTTACGTCCTTTGGATGCCATCGTAACCAGATGATGTGAGATACTATTTTTAACCCACCTGAATCATGCTTTAGTATAGTAATAATTCTGTCATAAACAATTTGCGTCATTTTATCAGTAGGTGCGGTAACGCCTGTCACCAATCTTACTCCTTTCCTTTGCAAAGTTCTAGCTACTCGTATTCCTTTCTGAGAGCACCAACAGGAACGAAGTTAGGAATTTTTATTCCTCTTAACTCTGATTCTCTCCAGCTGAGACGGATAGAATAGTGGTGAACCCAAAAACCTTGGCTAAACCATAAGTGTTTTCCTGTCATACTTATCGGTTTGTTTATCTCCCTGACTCCTCAATATAATAAGCTGCAAGGGGCGGACATGTGATCTGGAGCAGAGGAACTGGTAAGTGGTGTTTAATCCTGGCACAACCTTAGTAAGAAACGTTGACGCAAGTCCACCCTTGAAGGGAGGATATGCTCTTCAGAGGAGAATTAGTCGTCTTTTGTCTGTCATTCAGTGTGGAGCACCATGAAAGTCCTCTCTATCTTATTCTGCCTGTTGGGGACGAGTTCCGCTGCGAACATATTGTTTCTTCTTCCCTTTGCGAGCAAGAGTCATCTCAATGTGTTCGCCGCTCTGGCAGGGGGATTGGGCGAACGTGGTCACAATGTTACCATGGTGACGCCGTTTTCATCCATGGGTCTTAAAGGGGTAAAAGAGCTGACGGTGCCTGGTGCCGTGGAGGTGATGCAAGAAGCCGCGGTCAATATGTGGAAACAAGAGGGGAACGAGGCAGCTTTTATACCGTTGATTGTTGGCGTTCTGAAAGCCTCTGAGAAGGCCTGTAGGCTGACTTTGGATTGGCCACCGTTCCAACCTTACCGCGAAGGCACGGCGAAAGTGGATCTGATCGTGCTTTCAGCTGCCTTCATGGATTGTTTCCTCGGTCTGATTCCGACTTTGGGGAACGTTCCTTGGATATATGCGAGCCCTGCCAGTTTGTTTCCCCACTTGGGGCTCGCCCTGGGACTTCGGATCCCCACCTCCTTCGTCCCTCTTGCCGTGTTGCCCTTTCCCAGTCGGATGTCCTTCTTCCAAAGGGTCATAAATACCCTTGCTTATCTGGGGATGTCGAAATTCTCTTCCTATTACTACGATCCCATTGCGGAGTCCTTAATAGAAGAGTATTTCGATGTGAAGATGGATGTGGCGGAGATGAGGAAGAATGCGAGCGGTATCATCCTCAATACAGACCTCAGCTTTGACACCCCGTTCCCTACTTTCCCTGGGGTCGTCCTTGCTGGAGGCATGCACTGTCGACCCTCAAAACCCCTGTCAAAGGTAAGACTGCGCCAGACCTTCATGGCCGTTTAGACTAAAAATAAATAGAATTGGGCGTTTTTTCCACGGGTAAGCCTGACCTTGCCAAAAACTGAAGATTGGAGACATACTTCATTGCGTCTATTGGTTTTTTTTTGTGTTTTTTTTTTCTCCGAATTTTTTCTCATTACATTTTTTACTTGTTCATTGTGTCCCGCTGTGCACGTCTCACTATAAACGAAGCTCCGTCTCGTTTCGACACCGCACTAGTAATACAGAACGCGTCAAAAATCTTCCATTTCCCCAAATGTTATAGAATATTCTGGAATGTCTAAAAGACCATTCTCTATAGCTCGAGTGCTGATCGGTCTGTGTTCATTCCATATGCGTTAGCTTCTATTATAACTTCTGAGATATGGCTTTACCCATGCATCAGCGTTCCGAGATAATCTTCCTCTTTTCCCGTATGTTGGGTCTAAAGCTAGGATTGACGGCCATGGCGAAAGCGATCAAGTGTGACAAGAGGTCCGTGTAGTATCGGCTCGATCGATGAAAGGAATGCAAAAATCTGACAGATTCGACTCGTGACTCGTTCCAGCCGACCGCATGCAACGACGCCAAAGCAGGATGAACGGATTCTTTCGCTCTCCGATCGAGAAACGTTCGCAACGAGCCGTGACATCGAAAACCGTTTGAAGAGAATAGAATTAACCAGAGGCTAATTCGGATCCGATTGAATGAGCAGGGGCGAAATTTAGTCATTCGATGCCCAAACCTCTGCTCATTGAAGACCATGGAAACGATCGTTTGATATCTGCAGAAGCCCATTTGTTTACTGATTGGGACCATATGAGACAACAGTGTGTCTGAAACAGGTCGCATCTGGAATCTGCCGAGGCCAAACAAAGTCCTACGAACCGTAAAGCACTCCGCCAATCAATGTTTGGAGTTGCTTTTCGATCAGGGTCTCCCTGGGACTTACCAAAAAATAAATCGTAAAGGGACTGAGTGACCTTTCTCAGATAAAATCTGTGCAGTATTGGTTTTCCGTGTTTGAAAACTAACGCTTTGAACAATAAATGTATGAACTAATATGAAAATCATTTTTCAAAGTCTTTCCCTTTCCTTAACCTCAATCTCATCCCCCCCCTCCCCCCATCTCTACGGGACTCATTAGCGTTAAGCCCATAGCTTAACCGACGGATTGCCTTCGGGTCAAGCTTACCGTTTTTCGTTCAAAATGAACTCAATCCTCGACTTACCCTATAAGTAAGTCCCAATTAACCCTATAAGAATTTCACAGTGGTCTTCGAGACGTTTCGTCGAGGACGTATAACTTTAGACCGTTTAAAGGCCAATTTCCAGTTTCATGAACCATTTCACTGCGGACCTGGAACGTTACGCCTATCTAAAGTTCCTCGAACCATCTTCGCTTGTTCCGAGGAAAGAATGCCTCTAGGAAGCAGGAAGTTGCAAGTTCGGCGTCGTCTTAATTTAAGAATATCCAGATTATATGTAGCTATATCTCACCGAATCGATCGACCACTGCCAACCACGGTTTCTGTCGCGGTTCATCTCATGAACTCAGCACAGAAAAGTCGCTTACGTTGAAAAGCAGAATATGCCAGACACCGGTCGAAGCAGTCGCGAATCTCGCGTAACGCCGCCACGATATCCCGCAACACTAGGAGACGGGACCGGGGCCAGCACGGTAAACCGAAATGTACAGCTAATCTTTTTTAATGGCGATATGGTGCATCGTAAACAACAAGAATGGCACTGTCATTTCAAGTCACAATCCTTCTGATGGTTTGCCTCTTCCCTCCGAAATCCCCCCCATGAGAGGCTATCCGGGGGGGGAAACCCAAATGAAGTTGACATCTTCAAATTCAGAGTTCTCCACCACCCCTGGGTGTGAAACTGCAAAATTGTTGCAGGGATTCTGTTTTGAGAGGTGGAGACGCATGCCGAATTCCTGGTTATACTCTCGAGAGAAATACAAGGCGGTTGTATTTTCTTAGGGGAAGGGGCTGAAGAAAGGGTAATAGGCGATACCGGGCCTGTTGCTTTCCACCTTCGCTCGCCCTTATCGTTATTATCACTTGGACCCACAATGAGATAAGGTCGCTGGGGGCGGACATGAAACGGGGAGTAGGGGAACTGGTAAGTCGGGATTCATCCTGGCCTGCCCTCGGCAAGAATCATCGGCGAAAGTTCGCCCTTGAAACGAGAATGCCCTTAAGAGGAAGGAGCTCTGGCATTGTCGCCAGTCGTGCAGTGAACCTAACACAGTCTGTGAGTGTGGCGCCATGAAAGTCCTCTCTGTCTTATTCTGCCTGTTGGGGACGAGTTCCGCTGCGAACATTTTGTTTCTTATTCCCTTCTCGACCAAGAGCCATCGCAATGTGTTCAGCGCTCTGGCAGGGGGATTGGCAAAACGTGGTCACAATGTTACCATGGTGACGCCGTTTTCACCCATGGGCCTGAAAGGAGTGAAGGAGCTGACAGTTCCTGGTGCAGTGGATGAGGTGGAAGAAGCCGCGGGCAGCATGTGGAAACAAGAGGGGGACGAAGCAGCTATTCTCAAATTTAAGTTTGGCCTGCTCAAAAATGCTGATAAGGCCTGTAGGCTGACTTTGGATTGGCCAGTGTTCCAACCTTACCGCAAGGGCGAGGCGAAGGTGGACCTCGTCATACTTTCGGTCCTCTTATCCGAATGTTTCTTCGGTGCTATTCGGGCTATGGGGAATGTTCCCTGGATGTATGTGAGCCCTTCTGGAGTGTTCCCCCAAGTGGGAACCTCCCTGGGACTTCGAGCCCCCACCTCCTTCGTCCCTCTTTCCATGTTTCCTTTCCCCAGTCAGATGTCCTTCTTCCAAAGGCTTCTGAACACCCTCGTCTATCAGTGGTTCTCGACCTTCGTTCCCTATTATCACGACCCTGCTGCCGAGTCCCTCATCGAGGAATATTTCGGTGTGAGGATGGATGTATCAGAGATGAGGAAGAACGCGAGCGGTATCATCATCAATACGGACCTCAGCTCCGATACCCCGTTTCCTACTCTCCCCGGGTTCATAAAGGCTGGAGGCATGCACTGTCGACCCTCCAAACCCCTTCCAAAGGTTCGGAAACACAAATATGCGTTGTTCTTGAATACGTAAAAGAAGGGAAAAGTAAAATATATTTCCGGTTTTCTTATTCGTTATGATGAAATAAGCTTCACTTTAAGTTCATGACCACCATATGAACTAAATGTGGCGCTTAACCTCGCAGCAAAACGAAATCAATTTCCTTGCTCATTGTCTGTATGGAATCTGTGAAAATCCGTTTTATAATCCTTGAAGACCTTACCCACTGCCTGAAAAAAAAAATTGTTCATAATTATATTTTCTTGTATCGCACTTTAAATCAACATGTATGATCTCGAGGTCTCCACTTGCTTGACTGTAGGACGATGTTCACAAATGAATAGTCAAATGTTCTATCTTCATTGGAGAACCCTTATTGGAGAGCCTTATAAATGTCGAGACATCTTAAGGGTTTGCTGATATTTTCAAATTGATCAGGAAGCTGGAGTGTCACAGACCTCAGAAACTTCGCTAGGACATTGATCATTTCTTCTTCTTCCGGTTTGCCGGTTTCCGTCAACCGCTGCAGAATTTTTCCTATTCGTTGACTCGGTTCAGGATTATTTATGGGCCTACGTTGCGATTCTCCACGTCTCTGACTTGATTCTCCTACATGGAGAACTCATTCTGCGGCGCGTACTTGTCTTCGTCAGACATTTCTATCACTAGCCTGGAAGGAGGAATGAAATCGGCTATGATATTAGACTTTTGATTCCCCCTGTAGTTATGATTATCCGAAAACTGATAGAAATGAGCTTAATTCAAAAAACCTTGCTAAAACATGAGCGTGTTTTCCACTCTCGTCCGTATCGTCTTATCTCTTAGACCGACCCCCCCACCCCCTCGGTATGGAACGTTGGCGCAGGTCTCCCTTGAAACGAGGATGCTCTTCAGGGAGAGATTAGTCGTCTTTCGTCTGGCGTTCAGTGTGGGGCACCATGAAAGTCCTCTCTATCTTATTCTGTGTGCTGGGGACGAGTTCTGCAGCAAATATTTTGTTTCTTCTACCCCTGGCGACGAAGAGCCATCGCAATGTGTTCGCCGCTCTGGCAGGGGGATTGGGCGAACGCGGTCACAACGTTACCATGGTGACACCGTTTTCACCCATGGGCCTTAAAGGGGTGAAAGAGCTGACGGTGCCTGGTGCGGCGGAGGCGATGGAGAAAGCCATGAACAACATGTGGAAACAGGAGGGGGACGAAGCAGCTATTATACCGTTGATGTTCGGCGTTATGAACAGCTCTGAGATGGGCTGTAGACTGACTTTGGATTGGCCTCCGTTCCAACCTTACCGCGAGGGCACGGCGAAAGTGGACCTAATCGTGCTTTCACCCGTCTTAGCGGATTGTCTCCTCGGTGTGATTCCGGCTTTGGGGAACGTTCCTTGGATGTATGCAAGCCCTACCGGTTTGTACCCCCACGTGGGGGTCTCTCTCGGGCTTCGAGCCCCCACCTCCTTCGTCCCTCTTGCCATGTTACCCTTTCCCAGTCAGATGTCCTTCTTTCAAAGGGTCATAAATACCCTTGCTTTTTTGGGGATGACGGAATTCTGTTACTATTACTACGATCCCATTGCGGAGTCCTTAATTGAGGAGTATTTCGGTGTGAGGATGGATGTGGCGGAAATGAGGAAGAATGCGAGCGGTATCATCCTAAATACGGACATAAGCTTCGATGCCCCGTTTCCTCTTCTTCCTGGGATCGTTCTTGCTGGGGGCATTCATTGTCGACCCTCAAAACCCCTGTCAAAGGTAGGAGTGCGCCAAAACTTTCATGGCCGATTAGACCAATTTTAGTTCTTTGATTAGGGCGGTTTTACACGGGTAGCCAGACTTTGTCCCAAGCGGTAACTTTCAAAAACGTTCGTGTGACTTGATGAAATAATTTTTTTAAATGAAACATTTGCCTTTCTATTTTCTTGATTTTCCCCTCATTCGTGGGGAGACGACCTCACGAGTAACGGTATATTATCCTTTGCCCTCTGCGTTTTCTTCTTTTTCAATGAGATGAGCAACTCAGGAAGCGCTTCTTTTCCTCCCTTGCACATTATGCTGCATAGGCGCCGAACCCAGGGGGGCAAAGGGGCACGTGCCCCCCCAACTATATTATTGAGGGGGCAACGCCCCCCCAAGAATGGCAAAATTTCAACAAAGGCACATGGAAAATTGAAAACAAAAATGCTGCTTCACGAAAGAAATAAAGTATGATTTTCCTTTCTGTTTTGAGCTCCAACTGGGGGAGATCCCCTAGTCACCCCGTACGGGTATGGGGTGGAAGGGCCATGCCCAGCACCCCCCC